CTACTTGAAGATTTATTTTGATCATCAAGTGAAGAATACAAGAACAGATGGGGATTTTTTCCCTTTGGTTCCAAATTCAAAGTGTTTTTTCTGTCCTCCAAAAAGTCAGACTTTACTATTGAAGACATTTGGGATAATTCTAGACCTCTATTTACTCTGAACCCAGGTAAACATTCTTCAAACATCCAGTTGTTGACCAATTTGTGAGTATGAACCACTCTTTTATTTTTAGATTAGAAAATATAGTTTGTTTAAAAACTAAATTTGAAAGGAGAGAGAGAGAGAGAGAAAGAAAGAGAGAGAGATTGAGGGGAAGTAAGGGAGGAGGCCAAAGCCAGGAAACATGGCCTAGCCATATCTCAAAGAGAACACGGTCACATCATAGCTTAGTAAGGCAACGGCTGAATCACTCGGGTGGAGTAAAAATAATTCTACAAAATACCTTTCTCCCATCATTTTTCTGAGGATATAACTAATTGGGATTATCAGATTATTAGAAAAGTAAAGCAACAGATATTCTCAGGTTTTCTAAACCATCTTTACTTGGCTTCAAAGTCTGTCTTATTATCTTCTTTAGCTTTTTACTCATTCAAAATTTGTGACTTTCATCAAAGTCTCTATTCACTGGGACAATACATTCGTAGACCAAGAGAAGAAATAAACAACTAGTATAATTTCAGAGAAGCTGCCCCAAAATAATAGTTTTCTGCATGCGAAGCTGTGCTGGAAATTTCTTTAACAATAGACCACATCTTTAATTCTAGTAAGGACAGAGAGTAAACTGACTCTGAGAGATATGTTAACAGACAATCCAAAGAAGATAACTTACATACATATATTTTGAACTAGAAGTGATTGTAAAGGAGATAAGCGTGTGAAATGCGTATTTGGGTGAATAATAGAATGGGGAAAGGGGCAACGAAGAAGAGACAATTAAGGCACTTCTTTACAATGGGTTTTCCAGCTAAAAAAAATTAGCAGCAAAAATATGTTTTAGTCACCTGTACACAGCTTAGGCTCTCATTACTCTGCTGACTACCATTTACTCTCAATGAAAATAAAGCTTTACTGAGGCCAAATTTGATCCCAAAACCAGGAAATCCCAATATATGTATAATAGTACATTTCTTGAGGATAGTGCCTACAGAAACTCTGCAACTCTATAGGGAATCAAGAGTGGAACAAAGCCAGAGTGCTAAGAAATGGTATACACCTTCTCTGTATAGATACATTTCCTCTCTCAAATTATTTGAATATCTTTTAAATTACTTTAATTAATTTATTTCTTTTTTAGAGACAAAGTCTTGTTTTTTTGCCCAGGCTGGAGTGCAGTGGCATAGTCATAGCTCACTGCAGTCTTGAACTTCTGGGCTCAAGTGATCCTCCCATTTCAACTTTCCAGTAGCTAGACCACAGATGCATGTCACCATGCCTGGCTGGTTTTTTTTTTTTTTAAACTTTTTGTAGAGATAGGGATCTCACTATGTTGCCCAGTCTGGTCTCAAAGCCTGGCCTCAGGTGATCCTCTTGCCTTGGCTATCTAAAATGCTGGCATTACAGTTGTGAGTCACCATACCCAGCCCTCTGTCAAGTTCTTTATTCTTATGAAATAATTCGAGTGTTTAAAACAGGTATGTATGTGAATATTTGTGTGTGTGCACATATGTGTATGTGCACAGGTGATGTGGCAGTAATCTAATGGGTATACTGTCTTCTATTTCCAAGATTCTGATCACAATTTAAAAACAAATTTTTCTTTCTTGCTTTCTGTCCCATTGATCAACTTTCCTCTTTTGGCTTTTATTATTATATACCCAGGACTTAGTATCTGAAAAGTTCAATTCAGTGCACTCTGTTGAGCTGTCTGGAACAAGCATGGACTCTGGCATTAGACTGATCTGGGTTCTAGTTCTGTTTCAGTCTTTTACCAGCTGTTGGATGTGTGGCAAATTGTCTACTTGTCCTGCTGGGCCACAGTTTTCTTTTACTTTAATACTCTCCTTAAATGCTGTTTATAAGAATGTGGCAGAGTAAATGAAGAAGTTATATTTTCACTTCCCTTAGGGGAGAAAGAAAATAAATGTGTGAGTTATCCAATAACACAATGGACAAAGTTTCTCATTCAGTTAAGACTGGAAGGAAAATAAAATCAGATTTTAAAATTTTACATCGACTACTAAAGATATCAGAGGACACTAGTACATAAGGTATGATATTTATTTAGTCAGCTTCCAAGATGTGAATTTGTGATATATAGAAATCTACAGAAGCACATTCAAAGTAAGTCCTGCAAATGGATTTGATTTGAGTCACCTTGTCATTTTGGAAACAATATCATAAATATAAATGACAAAGTCCCAAGGAAAGGCAACAGACATGCCACTTTGCTAGCTTTCACAAAACCTAATTTTCCATGCAGTCTCTGGTGAATTAAAAAATAAAATGTAACATCAGTGTTGAAGGGTATTTCCAGATGGTCTTTTATTAGCTACCGAGAAGGAGGCTGCTGCTTCTCCATCAACTGCACACATCGCAGCAACAATTTTCACTTTTCTATATGATAAGTTATCATTGTTGTATGAGATGTTAAATGACACTTGGAGGACAAGTCTCTGAAATATTTTTGAAAACACCATGTGTGTGGCATAGTTCACATAACCATGGAGCTAAATTTTCTCTATTTACTTGAAGGTCAAACTATGTCAGTGAACACCCCACCCCTTTATTATCTCTGCTTTTGATCTCTCTCATGCAAGTTTTATTGAAAGTAATATATCTCAGAGTAATTTTAAGTGGGGAAAAATAAATTATTGTTTGAGAGTTTATTCAGCTGAACAAGTATCAAATGTTCAAGACTAGAAATTCTTTTTAAAGACAGGCCAAATTAATTTGATTATAAAAAACTGAGGGCAGGGGTAACTCCTAGCCTCATTTTACATTAGCCTAAAGAGATATCTTTATCTACTTTCTGTGAAATTCCCTGTCATTTTCCAGTGCCTCTCCACTTTTCTAGTTGCTCCACTTTCATGAAGATCTTCTCAGAGAAAATTTACTTCAAGTTTTCTAGAGTTACAGATTCATAGAAAAAAAAAAGTCCAGGAAGATTAAGAAGAGTCAGGGATTAATAAGTACATATATTTTAGGCTAAATTATGGATAGACCCTAGATTCTGACATATGTTGATTTACACAGTTATTAAGAATGTGAAATGTCCAGCTTTTAGGCATCTTGAGGGAAAAAAATAAAAGAAAGTTAAAGCCAGTTCATGAGGAGCCCTTGATCTGAACAGGAGGAATTAGAGATCACCAAGAACAAAATACCGAATCAAATGGAAGCCAAGAACTCTCCTGACCCACTCATGATTGTCCTCCAAGAGGCTTCCATGAAGCCATGGAATGTGACTTTCCCAGTGCATATTCTGACCAAAAGTCTTGGAGTATTAAGCATATAGCATGCCGACCAACAGTCATCCTGATTGGTTGGTGCTCATGTCTAATGGTCTGGGCACCAAAACAGTTCTGTAATAAGAGAATAAGTTTCCATTAGCAATGAATGTCTCATATGGAGAGAGAATAAAGCTGAATAAAAGACTTCATTATTCTGTAAAAATAAAGTCCTCAGTCAAAAAGGAAAGGTATGGAGAAGACAGAGAAGAAGAACTAGCTCAGAGGTAGGGCAGGTGACATTTGCCCAGACTGTACTGGCCACTTTACATTTAACTGTCACAACCATCCTAAGAAGAATGAGTCATAATTCCCAAACGCAGATGAGAAATGAGGACTGGAGTGCTTAAGTGGCTTTTCAGTCAGGTGATGGGAGCAAGAGTTGACACCAGGACATCATCAAAGTTTACTCTATTTCCACAGATGACTGCTTCATTCTCTAGGATGCTCCCACCCTGTCCACGCAGAACCATCCATGGCCCCAGTCACCCTAATTCAGCAGGAGCCGGAGACACTTGCCTGTCTGGCATTTTTTGCTATTTCTGCTCATCTGAGTTTTTTAAATTTTATGGACACATAATAGCTAAACGTATCTATGGGATACATGTGATGCTTTGCTGTAAGCTTGCAATTTGTAATGATCATATCAGAGTAATCGGAGTATCTATCACTTCAACCTTTAATTTGCCCTTAGTATATAAGCACTTGTCTCACCTGCTGCCCTCTCTTACTATCTGCTCAAGATAACTCTTGGACCAAAAGCCTCTTATCTCAAACTAAAAATTATTTTCCATTTATAGGAAAAAAGAATCAAGCAGTTGTTCACTTGGAATTGGGAATTGTCCAGTAAGAGTAAGGAGAAGGAGGGGATAGTCTAGGAGACATAAGGAATTGACTGAAACACAGTGAAAAAGAGTAAGGATACTCTGAATATTCCTGGGAGATAGAAAGTTCCAGGTTTTTATTCATGGTAGTGTGTACTGCGTACTAAGTCAGATGGAGCCAGGGAACTTATATGGGACTAGCACAGCTCTTGTGTATTCAGCTTTACCAGGATATGTGGCCTTTTCTCATAGTTGACCTTCTTCCATCTCTTCCTCTAACAGGTGGGAAAACTGACATTGGGAGGTGAAGTAACCTCACAACTAAGTTGTAGTGAAGCAATGAGTAGACACTTAGCTGTCCATATTAAGTTGGAAGTGTAAAACAGGACAAAGGGTCAATAGTGTCTGCACACATTGGGACTAGAACTCACCTCCATGTCTTCTGAAAAGCCTTAAAAAATCCTCCCTCATTTCCCTTCCATACTTTCCTGTCTCCTAGTTAAGGCTCTCCTGAGTTCTGGCAAACCAGACTCCTGGACATGGACCTGCTGAGTCAGTCCTGACATGCCACACTACTTAAATACAGACACCAAATCTTTCTTTCAAATTATACAAGTGACAGATGATTATACACTTTATATGATGCAAAACACATGGAAATGTACAGAACAAAAGAAAAATCCTTCTTCATTCAGCCCCCATTTAATATACACTATGAAATATTGTATGTGGGTGCTTTGGAGAAGGGAGACGGATTTATAAACCCGGAGCGAGGTCCTGCGTGCCTGAGGCCGCTGCGGTGCGGAGACTCCCGGGCGAAGCCGCGGTCACCATGTCTGACCAGGAGGCAAAACCTTCAACTGAGGACTTGGGGGATAAGAAAGAAGGAGAATACATTAAACTCAAAGTTATTGGGCAGGATAGCAGTGAGATTCACTTCAAAGTGAAAATGACAACACATCTCAAGAAACTCAAAGAATCATACTGTCAAAGACAGGGAGTTCCAATGAATTCACTCAGGTTTCTCTTTGAAGGTCAGAGAATTGCTGATAATCATACTCCAAAAGAACTGGGAATGGAGGAAGAAGATGTGATTGAAGTTTATCAGGAACAAACGGGGGGGTCATTCAACAGTTTAGATATTCTTTTTATTTTTTTCCCTTAATCCTTTTTTATTTTTAAAAATAGTTCTTTTGTAATGTGGTGTTCAAAACAGAATTGAAAACTGGCACCCCATCTCCTAAAACCATCTGGTAATTTGAATTATAGTGTTCATTATTCATTATTGTTTGTTTTCATTGTGCTGATTTTGGTGATAAAGCCTCAGTCCCCTTCATATTGCCCTTTCCTTTTTAAAAATTACATGTGTGCACAGAGAGGCCACCTTTTTCAGGACTGTGCATTTCAGGCTTGTGGTGAGATCAATAGATCGACCAATGCGAGTGTTCATAATGACTTTCCAAAATGCCCTGAAGTTCTAGCATGTGACTGCTTCACTCCTGGACTATGACTTTCAGTGGGAGATGGAAGTTTTTCAGAGAACTGAACTGTGGAAAAATGACCTTTCCTTAACTCGAAGCTACTTGTAAATTTTGAGGGTCTGGACCAAAAGAAGATGAATATCAGGTTGGAGTCAAGATGACAGATCAGGTGAGAGTAATGACTAACTCCAAAGATGGCTTCACTGAAGAAAAGGCATTTTAAGATTAAAAAAAAATCTTGTCAGAAGATCCCAGAAAAGTTCTAATTTTCATTAGCAACTAATAAAGTTATTCATGCAGAAGTGTGTACAGCAGAACACTGCTCTTTTTGATTTTGTTTGTACTTTTTGGCCTGGGATATGGGTTTTAAATGGACATTGTCTGTACCAGCTTCATTAAAATAAACAATATTTGTAAAAACCGAAAAAAAAAAAAGAAGTATTGTATGTGTATCATTAATATGCTTTTAAATGTTTTGCCATTGTCTTTATACATGGGACAATTCTGTATGTGTGGTTCTACGAATTGCAATTTATAAAAACTTTAATGACATATCAGTGTACATGGATCTAAATTTACACAACAATTCTTCTATTGATGAGCATTTGGGTGGCTTCAATATGAGTACCTATATGAATATTTACTTTAAGTTGATTCCCAGGATTGGAATTGTTGGCTTAATGCTTTTCAGCATTAGTATTTATTCTTTTATTAAAGAATAGAAGGAACCTCCACTCAGTGTCCTAAATTTAAAAAGAAAAGTTGTAATAGTATGTCAACATAGTCATCTTTTTATAAAAGAGTGAGGTAACTTCACTCCAGGTGGTTAGTGACCAGGTCATATCCTTGAAGCTTTCCCTTAAATGACTTCATCTGTGTTCACTTTTAAGATAGGTAGGCTCTATTCTCCAGTATCTTAGATTTTCAGGAAAAATCTCACCTATGGAGACCTGAAAAAACGGGGCAAGTAATATGTGATTATGCCTTAATATTACCTTGGGTTGGAAACAAAAAGGAGTTGTTTTGGAAATAGTCTTTGTTCTGATATTTACCTTTTGGAGTTTTGGAATTTTTAGTTCCTAGTGTTCTTGATATTTGGTCAAGTGTTCAAGATATTTGACCTAGTGTTCTTGATATCTGGTCAAGAATTTCTCAAAACACCAACATGATTTATTTGTGACATTCTGTGCTTGTGCTGGTCTCCTTTTTTAAAAATTTTAAATAGATTTAGGATGTACAAATAGTTTTGGTCTGGGCTTTAAGTGTACCCACCATCCTGTGCTGGGTTCTTTATTTTGTAAGAGAGGCCAAAGCTCTAAAATCAGAAGGTATCATTCAGTGGGTAACACAAGGCAAGGTGCTCCCTTTTTTAGTGAAGTGCAGAATTGCCTATAGCCCAGATGAGTCCAAGTGCTGGGCATTAGCTCCCAGGGGCGTCAAAGTTAGGCACAGGATACGCAAATGTCTCACTCCTGTTTTTATGCCTCTTTTGTGTGTTTTGTTCCATGGAATTTCCCCCACTTTCTTCATCCACAGGGCTTGACTGGATGTCTGATTCGCCTAATTTCAATAATATTATTATCTTAAGTTTATAATGATACATACACAAGAGAATTTAAAAAATGGTTGGTGTAGTGGAAAATGTTCACTTTTCAGAATCACTGAAAACTTGATTTGAAGATTGGATGGGGGGCATAGCACTGTGATTTTCCTTACTGAGGAAAACATAGGTATTGGGACAATGATTTTGAGATAAGGTAAAAGCGAAATGTGGTTTTTCATTCAGTTTTTTAAATTGCAACATCAGAAAATGTGGCTTTATTTGATCAGTTACCTTTTGAATTTAGTAAAATGTTATCACGTACCTATTTTGTTTTAATTCACTCTGCATTTCCTTGTTTATTTAATCATTCATCAAATATTTATTTAGCATATGTTATGTGTTAACACATGACAGATCTGTAATTATTTGGATATATCACATACACAAGACTTTCATGTCTTCCTCTCTCTCTCCTTCCCTTCCTTCCTTCCTTTCTGTCTCCCTCTCACCCTCCCTCCCTTCCACCTCCCTCCCTGCTTTGCAGGTTTAATTAGTATGTTTTGTGCCAAACAATGTCACAAACATCAAAAACCAGTCTTGACCAAGGCTATCTTACAGTCCAATGCAGCAGACAGCTAGTGATGCTTGTTAGTCTAACAGCATACTTTCAAGTGGTTATTGTATGGCTACTATGAAGAAAACGAAACAGGGTGATGTAATAAAAATCGATAGGTGGCACTAGGATGGGGATGTGGAGACAGAACCATAGATAGGCCAGGGAAGGCATTTTAGAGAAGGTGACTGGGAGAAAGAAACATGGGAGAAAGGAGCAGGAATCTGTGGGATCTTCAGTCTTTCAAACACTCTAAATTTGCTTGTAGATAACTGCATTTTTGGAATGCATACTGATAATTTCACTCATTTTAGAGAATGAATCTCTGTCTAAAACATCTACTGGTGCCTCCACACTAGCACCCCCAATCCTCTACTCTCTTGCTGGGCCAGTGTTAGATCTGCTATTTTTCAATTTGGGGCATTCAGCTCTGACTTCTTTATGGCTAACGCCTCAAAGATCTAGTTCTCATATTAGTCCTGAGTATTAGCCTGAGGACCCATCTTCTTGAAATACTACCAGTTCCACAAATTCAGTATATCTCAAACCAGACATTATTTTACCTTCCAAACAAATTACTCTTTTCACCACTCTTATTTCTCTTAGTAACATCAATATTGTTCTAATATTTCAGGCTAGAATATTTGGAAATTTCTTTTCCTCCAAATTTTACTTTTCCTTTAATCCCCTGTATCTTCTCTGTCATCGGATTCTGCTTCTTTCTTCTGAAATATTGATCAGAAGCACACATCCTTCCAATTTCAAGCCCTTCTATACCATCTTTGCTCTTAGGTATGGTGTCATGGTGGCCACTGCTGTAGCCTCCCATTTGGTCTCACCCTCCCCAGCACAGGTTGTATCTTTCAGCCAAATTACTCTTCCATGGATACCACCTTCATAACAGCATGTCTCCACCCAGAACTACTGTGTCTTGTAAATGCTTATCTACTTACATGTGGATTTCCCCTGCCTTATTCCCCTAGTTTCTCCACATGGTGCTCACTTTTTTTTTTTTTTTTGAGTTGGAGTCTCACTCTGTCATCCAGACTGGAGTGCAGTGGCCGCTCCCAGCCACCGCAGCCTCGACCTGTTGGGCTCCAGTGATCCTTCTGCCTCAGCTTTCCAAGTAGTTGGAACTACAGGCACACGCTACAACACCTGGCTAATATTTTGATTCATCATAGAGATGAGGTCTCACCAAGTTGCCCAGGCGGGTCTCGAACCCGCGGGCTCAGGTAATCCACTCACCTCAGCCTCCCAAGGTGCGGGATTACAGGCTGAGCCACCGATCCCGGCTGGTGCTCACTTCTAATCACCAGGCCTTCGCGGTGCCATCTGCATTTCTTGCCACATGTTCGCCTCCATCCTTACTTTTCTCCTGCTTGACCTTTAAATGCCATTCTCCATTTTTTTCTCACTCATTAATTTCCACCTATTCTAACGTTCGAAAACTCTGTTAGGCTCCTTTCTCTATTCTTCTGTACACTCAGTGCATATTACTGTCTCTCTTAAGAACTGTTGCCCCCACCTACAGTGTATTATACTTGCGTCTGATCTCAATCCTTTCTTCAATGTTAAGTGACAGTGCTGCCTCCTCTATAAAGTCTGCCTATATTTTTCCATCTTCCCCCATATGCTCATGAAATATTGGGACACATATTCCCATAGGAGCATTGTATTAGACTCTGCTCTCTGGGGTCTAATTCACATCAATTTGCTCCACCGGCTAAATCTTGAACATACTAGCTGCCCAATAAACACTGTGAAGTTAAACTTCTTTGCTTATCTGTCCTTCACTGTCTCTGTCTTACAATTTAGCTGCTCATTTGGTGCTAATTGTTTCTTTCTTGCTAATTTCTTCTCCCTCTAGATCATCAGCTAATTTGGGGTAGTGATCCTGTGATGCAGCACCTGGTTGCCCTGATTCAGTCTCTGGTCTCAGATATTCCCATTTCAGTTCTTTTTTTGTTTGTTTTAATATCACTTCTTTTTAAAATTAAGTTTCTTTTTATTATAGAAATGTGGGGGACAAGTAAAGATTAACTACACAAGGAGGCTGCAGGCAGGTGAAGTTTTGGCCTCCAGGAAAAATTTGGGCCTCTAGGTAAAGTTTGGGCCTCCACCAATCCACTTCTAGCTAATGTTCTAACAAATATTAAAATTTGTGTACTACTAGACTCACAAAGTTAAAGATGGTTTAATTTGTGTTACTTTGCTACTATTATTCATTTGAGACTAACTTCTTGTTAGAGATGTGGAAGGAGTAATTTAATCTACTTTGCAATGGTAATGTGAGAATTAAGTGAGGCAATTTATTTGAAAGTGCTTTATAAATTATCAGTCGCTATACAACATGATGTCATTAGTAATAATAAATTGTAAGCCCATCAAGAGTAAAATATACCTTGTAATGTGTGACAGATTGTGTTGATTGTCCATCTACCAACAGTCTGCACCCTACATGCTCCATTGTGCTTTCTTGCTGGCAGAATCCTGGTCCTGCTGTGGAGGTCATATATTTCTCATATTAGTTTTTTCGCACATATCTTGCAGCTAGGACATGAGCAGTGTATTCAATTTTGGCCAATGAGTTCTGAATGCAAACCAGCTCTGTGGTTTCTGGGAAATATTTTACTCCCTGATTTTAAAAAATGCATGAAAATAAAATCCCCTGTTTTCTGCTTTACTGTGGTTGCCTGGGGCCATGGTGGCTATGTTACCACCTCAAGGAGAAAAGCTAAAAATGAATGCCAGTGATCTAAGTGTAGCAGAGTAGAAATATATAAAGAATATGGGTCTCTGATTCTGTTGTGGAGCTATTATACAACCCCTGCAACTGCTTTGCCTCTGGAACTTTTGTTATGAAAGAAATAACTGGGTTTTTTTTTGAGTTGAAGTCTCACTTTGGCACCCAGACTAGAGTGCAGTGGCATGCTCATGGCCACCACAGCCTTGACCTACTGGGCTTAGGCGATCCTTCCACTTCAGCCTTCCAAGTAGTTGGAACTATAGGCATGCGCCACCATGCCTGGCTAATTTTTCGTTTTATTATACAAACTAGGTCTCACCATGTTTCCCAGGTTGGTCTCAGGCAATCTGTGGGCTCAGGCAATCCTCCCGCCTCAGCCTCCCAAAATTCTGAGATTATAGGAGTGAGTCACTGCATCTGGCCTGTTCTTATTAATTAAACCACTTTAAACTACACATTCTGTTCCTTGTACCCCAAAGCATTCTAATGAATTATACTTCTATTGTATCCTTCATAGA